GGGACTTCCGGTACATAAGCTGGCGCCTTAACCACACAGCTATCTCAAGCTCACCTATTTGTGGATGCGTGAGGTTCTCAAATAAGTCGTACGCTAGCGATGCATCACTGTTGAACACTGATGTTACACAGTTGATGAGGGTGTATGGGGAGCTCTTCAAAAGAGTTCGTACACGCACTGGTGTCCGACAAGGTTCCATTCCACTTTTGTCTAATATCGTCAATGAGGTACTGATGCGAACACTGGAAGATCTCAGTGTTCAGACCTGTCCGGGAGAGGAGCTCGTCTACCTGGAATGTTCAGACGACATTCTTCTCATTTCTGAAGAGCGGGAAGCGCAACCATTACTTGAAAGGCTGGGTCATCCAGTCCTTCCGTTTATGCTCCGGTCCCACATAAATATGTCTTTAATAATTCAAGGAGTGACAGTGGAAGTTGAATAGTGCTATAAACATCATTCAGGTATAGCGCCCTTTTGATGCCCAACTGCCATGCCATCAGAAGGAAGCACGAGGACTGGGATGCTGTCAGGTTGCCCAAGCCTAAACAGGGAGTCGAGAGGCTTAGGTCGGGTTCAAACCACGGACCTTGCGGTCAATAAATTTACGCTCTAACCACAGCCATCCCGCCATTTCGTGTTTCGGAAGAAGTCAACTCACGGACAGGAATTGCTCACTTGCTCTCAAAGGACGCGCATATCAGACTACTGTATGGGCTCTATTTTTGTACGACGGCAAGACTAAATCACTTCTGGTATGTATGTGTAGGGGTTATGGGGCATCTCCAGGTCTTTGTCCACTGATGTCTGAGGGCTGTAGTTGGAATCGACTGAAAGCGGCGAATTCGGGAGAAGACGATCGGGAAACCGGTCTTTGAGGAGGAAAACGGTACTCCATTTAGAGCACGCGTCCTGTATTGCAACCTGAGGTAGCTGCAGCATGAGTTGGGCGTGTTAATTTACTGGCTGCTTCGAGGGGAATCGTTTTCCACGCCTAATTTGGAGTGGCGCAAACCTATATCTGACTAAGATATGATATGTCAGAAGTTACTGAAGGATGCTATATATAGTTTGTGCTTTTTTTTGCTACTCGCTTTCCAGGATGGGGTCTATGTGACCCTCCCTGTGTTCGACTGAAGACCCGTCACACAGACAGGGCCTCACCGTGGTGTGATGGCGCGCGCCCGTCGTTTCTTCCGCTCCTTCAATATGCCCCACGGAAATGATGTCCTTCACAGTAACCACTTCAGAAAACACTGGCAGTCGATGGTAAAAACATGGTTCAATCAACCCGCCCGCAAAGAAAGGCGCCGGGCTGCCCGTAAAGCAAAGGCGCGGAAGATAGCTCCGCGTCCAGCCTCAGGTCCATTGCGGCCTATTGTGAATTGCCTGACATTGCGCTATAACATGAAGGTCCGAGCAGGGCGTGGATTTTCCTTACAGGAGGTTCGGGCTGCTGGGTTCACTCCCAAATGTGCTCGCACCGTTGGGATATCTGTCGACCACAGGCGACGGAACGTTTCGGTTGAAGGGTTGTAGCGAAATGTTGCCCGTCTCAAGGCTTACAAAGCGCGGCTCATCTTATTCCCGAAGAATCCTGCCAAGCTTCAACCCTTGGAGGCCAAGGTAAGGCTCCTTGACCTTGTAATGTATATCCTTCGCTTTGTGTGAATCTTACAGGCCACGTTTACAAAGCCAAAGATTAGGACTGCTGTAGGTTTTCTGTAGAGATGGTTTTTTTAAATTCAATACCATTCGGTTCTCATGCCACAGGGGATACGGATTAGCGAATGATACCCGTATTTTGTTCATGCCTGCACCGATTCCTATAAATATGCAGTGGCGAAAATGGTCAACGTAATTGGGCTTCCCGCTTGGTCCTAAAGTATATTGCATCACGGAAGTGGACCACTTCGTATAGTTTATTCAGAATAGTTATTGTGGACGCTTGATATCGTACCCGCTATTCCCCATGGAATTTTGCTACTTAAATTCGTAATCGGTTGAGAAGTGCACTTTGTGATGTCAGAATGAAGGAAGGAATAATCATGAAGAACTAAGCTAGCTGTATGGATGCTTTATGGTAGCTTACTTCAAGCCCGGGTTATTGAAGTGGATGACGTGAAGATATGAACTCAGCGTCCCTTGATCAAGTCAATGAAAGCACCATAGTATATCGGCGGTTTGGTTCACGCTGCTCATCCACTTGACCTAATATAGCTGGGTGGCTAGTGTACTCCCTGCGTGACAAAGAACGTCGAGGCACACGTAAATTGGCTTCACTGTTAATAAGCCGGTCGACTCAGAAAGTGGAGTTAGTATGACTTGCGTAACGCAAGATGATACCAACTTGTCAGCCACTCTTAAGATTGACCGGGACTGTTGGAGAGGCTGGCGATCATCGGATTTCCGCTTTCGTTTACATCTATCCGCGTAGTAGCTATATTGGAGATGTTGGCTCGGGTAAACCTTCGTCTAAAACTGGCGGAAACAATCATGATGGGCCATTTGGATGACAACATTGTACCTTTGGGGACTGGAGTACAACGATAGATTCCTAAGCCAGCTTTTGATTAGCGACACTTACCACACCCATCAAATCAGAAACTCCTGTGTCTGTCGTGCGCACTGGTTAGAACTGGTACGTAGGCGTTTGTTAGATCGTGTTGCTCTCTGTTGAAAGTAGCCAGTGTGTTGAACCCATACCGGGTTGTCGGTCCCGTCTGGAGTTGCTAAGCACTTAGCTCACTCATACTGATATCCCAGTCAGCAGTTAGCAAAAGTTCATCATGCTGGCCGCGGCGGTGTTTCACAAAGTAGTACCTACAGTTATTATTATAGCAACCGATTATGTCCTCCTCAACAGGAGTGAAACAGGGATTGGACAGTGTTGGGTGCCGTCAGCTGGGGACTTCACCGTGACATCCGTCCTTCACTAGCTCTGCATAAATCTCTCCTAGGACCCCAGACGCTGGTGTCAGTCCCGCCTGATTTAAAACATTCAACAAATTTTCTGACCATTACCCAATACAATGCACGAATTCTGTTTCTTCAACTACCAGTTGGTGCTCTACGTTATCTAAGTCCTACCGCTTGCTAGCTGCAATAACTTTTTGGTTTTGTCAAATTCGACGTGCCTCCGGTATGTTCGCTCGCGCACATCAGACACATTGTGGGTATTGCGGACCATTCTCAAATGTGAGTCGCTTCAGATAGTTTAATTCTTCAGCTTTGCTCTGCATGGCAGCGCACTTTTCAGCTGCACAATGTAAAGTTCTACTAGCATACCGGAACTCGCAATAAACGTGGTTGGTTGTAGTAGGTGAGTTGACGTAGCTCTCCACTCGAATAATACTCATCCGATTGCCAATAGATGAAGTCACCTCAACCGGGGCGGCCAGTACCCCTCTTGCTAACATTTTAAGCCCATGTATGGTGTTGGAACAGCAGATCAGTAATGCTGAGGTACGCCAGCTAGTTTTCGGAAAAGTCCATTCTCCCTTTATAGATCAACTCGTCGTACTCCACAGGTTACGCTGGTTAGGCCGTGTGCTTCTTATGTCAAAGGACCGTTTGCCTCTCACATTCCTCTTCGCCCAGCCTTGTATCGGATGGAGAAGATCCAGGAACTTGCAGTCCATCACCTGGCGATGAAGTATGAAAGTATGAAATAGGGAGTGTGATTTTACTGACCGGAAGTTCCGTAGTTCGAACCCAATTTCTTCCTCGACTTCTATCTGGGCCCAAGCATCCTGACAATATCCAAGCCGTCGCGCCTCCCTCTGGTGGCATGGCAGTTAGGAACCGAAAGGGTGCTACAGCTGAGCGATTTTTGTGAAGTACAAAAGCCCTTACCAGTTAACTTGGTCCTGGACGGGGACCTCAGGAGAGGACGCACCAATGGTTAGTGGCTCTGACAGATATGGTCGCGTCACGCAACCAATGGCGACCTTCATCAAAACTCACCTCCACTACGTAGCTCTCGATCTCTCACGTCGGACAAGCAGAATAACTGGATGTCAATGAACTGACTTGGCTATCTCCTCCAACGCGCTGCTGTCATCTTATTCTCTTTGTCCTCGGTGACCGAAGCTGTAGTAGCTGTAACCACTGCACTTCGATGCAAAGTTTGTGAGCCAAAAACTTGAACTGAACTTAACATCTGTGTTAATAGCTTTTCGATTTTAGGTAATATACTTCTGGTGCGACCTATGCTGCTTTATGGATAATTGATGTTGCTCTTGCACACATAGGACTTGCGGTCAGTTTCAGTGTTTGTTCATCAATGTGTCCGAGTTATTGTTCAAATCTGGCGGGAACATATGTGCAATGGTGCTGAGGCACTTTAGCTGATTTTCGGAGAAGCATCTCATGATAAGCGATCCAGCTACACTTCATAAGCTGCGCTTGTTTGGTTCCGTAATTCGACTGCCCGGATGACGATGTCTTCACAGAGCTCTTTTCACTCAGCCACTTACAGCACGAAATGATGAAGAGACAACCAGTCTATAACTTACCAGTGCTGCGGAAAAGCCCTGTCTCCGGTCGAGCCACAGCGTCGGCTGACGTTTACAGGCACTAGCCACCCACGTTTTGATGTTGTCGTACACAGAAGTTATCATCTTCAATGCGTGGCTATACCAACCCCCATTTGCTCAGAAAAGTATGGTAGTTTAGCGTCAATAACATGGACAAGCCATCTCTTTTTTGCTGTATCGCTATCCCTCCTTTGTTCGCTCATTTCCCGGTACTCACAACCAGCTGCTGGAACCAAAATCACCTTTGCACTGAATGGCAGATTGACATCGATGCATTGACACCATAATCAAGGGTTCAAGGAAAAAGCCATTCGTCAGCGCTCCCAGGTGACGGACCTTAAAGACGTCGCTGTAATGAGTGAAGTTGTACAAAGTCAGACTGTTCATGTGCATAATAGCGTTTTGTCCTTCTTTTCAGCCCTTTTCATCCCACATACGTGTGACTTAATAAGCACCAAAAGAAGATGGGGAAGAAGCAACATCAGAAGGACAAGATGTGAGTCAGTTTGCTTGATATTCATCTCTCAGTTATGTGACGTGCACGGAATGGAGTACTCTCTACGGGGGTAGACGCGCCTCCACAGAGGATAGAAGACGCTTTAAGCGTCTGCCATTCCACTGCTGCAGGTAATAGCTGTATATTTTGCTGTCGAACTACAGTATCACCTTTCAACCCTTCAAAAACCCCTATTGCACCAGGGAGGGGATCATTTTCGACCTTGAGTAAGTCGTCCCCCCCAGTTCCTAACCCTTTCCAGAAACATTCTACCTTTTGTTCGGAAACACGGAATCAATCCTGTCACAGGAAAGGTAATTCTCAGTTTTTATTCGCACACTAGCACTATTTTGGCGACAGAAAATGAAAGCTGGAGAACTGATTAAACTTACGTTTCACCGGAATTCCGATGGGAAGTTTCATTGTCCTGTAACCTTCAAGGTTTTCAATGAGAACACACACATTGTGGCAATCAAGGTCACGGGCAACGTCTACTGTTATGAGGTGCTGATTTTTCCGTTCCGTAAATATTCTGTTTCACTAGGCCGTCGAACGTCTAAATGTGAAAGCAAACAATTACTTTGATTTGTTGAGCTCGGATCCGTTTACCAAGGAAGATATAATTACGCTCCAGGATCCGCAAAACCTGGACAAATTCAACATCTCTGCCTTCTACCATGTTCAACATAAGGAAGAAGAAAAAAGTAGGATTTCGATATTTTTGTGCAGCACTTTGTCGCCTTATTTTGCAATTTCGTTCTGACCGGGAGCTCTTTTCCTCGCATACCGTCCTAACTGTTGGGCACTGTGAGACGTCCGACACAGATAAGGCGTTGGAGCGGGAATCCTATAGATTGTGCTATCGTTTTTCATAGCAAGTAGCTTTGTTATTGGTGACCAAAGTTTGTTGGTTTCAAACTATGGTGGCTAGGAGAAACCTGGGACACTCTAGTTACACTTTCGTGCTTGTTGTCCAGGTTTACTCAGACTAATTTTTCTCAGTCGAAGTGGATATATGCATCCCGCATTAATATAGGTGGTAACCAGCCGCCGATTGTAAGGCATTATGTCCAGCTGAGCACCCTTTCGGTGCCTGCCCTGCGAGTGAGGTACGAGGGCTAGAATACTGTCAGGTCGCCCAAGCCTAGACAGGGGAAGTCGAAGCGGCAGAGGTCTGGTTCGAACCGCGGACCTTCCGGTCAGTAGATTCGCGCTCTCCATCTCACCCCATTGGTTCTATTGGTTCCATGTGAACACGAATGACGTCTCCTCGATCACTTCTTGATGTTCTTTTTGAGCCAGTTACTTAGGTAGTGTGGCGATTGTTTGCAAAGGGGGTCGGATTGGAATGGAAAACCAACAGCCTTATAATTGTTCTGTGCTTTTTGTTGTACACATTATGGCACCATCCAACGACGCACTCGCCCCGGGTTAGTAATGGGATGACATATTGAAAGTTTTTTGGTAAAATTACAGCCGTTTAGACAAATGGTGGTAAATGATAGTAGTTTTTCACCGACACTGCTGCATCGAAGCAGAACGATTTGACATTGATCCAGGACAGCAATTTTGTGGTGTCACAAGACTTCGAACTAACGTACACATACACACGGTTTATGGTTGCCGAACTGAGTCAAGTTGAACCAACAGAGCTGTTCTTCGGCAAAAACGAATTATCACCACCGAGTCATCCAAAACGAGGAAAATATCTTTGAATAAACGGTTCGAACAAGTGTTCTGTGCACACACCTATACCAGTTACAATATCAAACGTGACATCTACGATTGATCCATCCGTCTTTTCTCGCAACATTCGTCGGCCTCTTTGAGTTTCTTCAAAACGACCGTAGCTCTCTGTAGATTTCGAGGAAACCAGGTTCTACCCATAAATTTCCTGGTATTCAGCCCAGTTTTGTAGTAATTTTCCAATAAATGGGATGTCCTTCTGCCGAAACTGAACAAAGCATTGGTAGACTAGTCTCTGGTGGGGCAGTTTTTTGCATAAGATATCGTCATTTTTGGACATGAGTCCGTTTGACTGATTTTTACACGTTACGTCTGAAAAGCAACGATGCGATGTGCGTCCTCTTTAGGACGTACAGCATGCACTTTTCAAAGGGTCCTCCATAAAATCACCCAGCTACCTTAACACAGGTCGACGAAATTTCGAGTTGCACACTGGCTATCCGCTCATCCTACTATTTCGAATAAACGGCACTCATTCCACTTTATGCTGCGAGCGTAGTGAGGTCAAAGCCACTCGTGAATCCGTCCGTTGCCCATGTGGTGATTTTGACTGGGAGCTACCAAATGAAGGTAAAAATTTTCCCTATTTTTGGACAAATCTGCTGGCACGACAAAAAACCTCGAGTAGATAAGATGCCCTTCCCTAAAATACACAGTGCACGTAGGTTCCCTGCAAACGAAGAGCGCTGTATTCATCCTGCGAAAAATTGAGCTTTGTCAAGATTAATTCATTCTTCAATGTTGCTCCTGGTTGGAGGTTTCTTCGAAAGTGGGAGGAGTTGTGGCCACTCGAAGCCGACAATTATCGAGTTATTGTGCGTTTCTTTGTTCTGTGTTTAAGTTTCGCTTCGTGGCATGCGCATCCGAGGCCAAACTATCAGCCTAGTCAGATATGTAGTCTTTATGGAGGGATAGTCCTCCACTAGAGGATGTGGGCCAATAGCCTAGGACACTTCCAATTCGATTTCGCTTTGGAGGATTCAGCTGTTTGAAGAACCAGAAAGTACCTCCTCTTCGGCCTCGGTGATTTGGTGTTTCTCAGAGAGTCTCACAGTGGGAAAAGTCCCGTGCTTGAAAAATTGTCTCATTGATGGAAAGGGGACTGCAGCAGAGTACATCTTACCACAACTTCACTTTTCATTCTGCGGACAGAAGATTGCACAGGACTGAGGTGTTCACCATGAGTCAGATTACATCATTTGACCACATTTATTCCGATTCAAAGTCAGTGCTTCTTTGTATGTTTCGGTTAAAAGTGCACAGATATATTTTAGAATGATCGTAAAGTGAAAAAAGGAACGAAGGGTGCTAAAAATATACACAGCTCAGTGTTTCTTATCCGAAGGAAGGTAGATGATACACTCCCCTTTCAAAGGAATCTCTCATCGAGTTTACGGCATCTTATTATTTCAGACAGGTGCAATTTTGCGCTTGTATAATTTTCTGCAGAACAGGGTATTTTGACGGACCTCGTGTGTGCTACTCAAGCCAGGCAACATTCAAAAAAGATAATTGGTTGTTTGTCTTCATCCATGAATTTGATTTATGCAGGTGTCTCTAGTCGTCTTGTTTTACGCTGCAATTGACCTGCCCTCATTGAGAAATTTGGAATGACGTAAATGAATTCCAGGCCGCCTGATATGGATTCACTCGAAATAAACAACTTCAGTTTGATATCCACGGCAAATTCGACCTACTTACAGGTGCTATCGGATCTCTTAAACCGCCCATTTTGGCGGACAGTCTGTCCCGTGACACAAAATTTATGGTCATTTCCACATGGCAAACGACGTTTCCGAAGGTTGTGGAAACCCTGACCGAGGAGGAACGTGTCGCCACTACATCATCTCTATGGAGGTGGGCGAGATAGCTCAGTAGTCAGAACGCGGATTTATTGCTTGGTTCGAACCCAACCTTTGTTTCTCGGCTTCCCCTGTCTATGCTTGGGCAAACTGGCAGTATCGCAGCCTTCGTGCTTCCCTCTGCTGGCATGGCAGTTGGGTACCGGAAGGGTGTTACAGCTGAACGGTTCTTTCCAATCTGCATAGAATGTTGCTGAAAAACTTGCATCTTGACAATTCTCGCAGTCTGTCCAGTGATATTTGTACTGGTACCTTGTTATCCGAAACACTTATGGGATTTTCACAATTTCTCTCCCCATTTGTCATTGTGGAGATGATGGGAATGTCGTGGTCATACGTCAGCTAAATCAAGAAACCAAGGAGACACTTGCTGAACTTCCGAAAGATCTCAAAGTTCCAGACTACATGTGGTCAAACAAGCCGAAATCCGATGGTGATCAAAAGAAACGGGATGTTTTCAATACGGTATTTTCATACATCTATTCACTTGATCTCTTTAGGCCACGTACTCTACAGGTAAAGCGGCTGCTTCGTTGACTTCGACAGTTATGGAACCAGTGACCAAAGTTGAACCTGGTTAGTTGAACTTTCCACCTTTTTTTCTATTAGGTGATCAGCTGTTTTGGAGGACGATGTTGTGCGCTACAAATACGTGACCAAAAAAGGCTACGTCAGTCTGGTGACCACGCATGGTCGACTTAATTTGGAGTTGCATTGTGATCTGGTGCCCAAAACGTGCGAGAACTTCATCCGACACTGTGCATCCGGCTATTACAACGAAACTATTTTCCATAGATTGATTCGCTACTTCATTGTAAGTCAAAGATCTCCAATGACCGCCCTCGTGATTTGCTCTATAGATCCAGGGAGGTGATCCTAGTGGGACTGGTTTCGGTGGGGAATCGATTTGGAACAAACCGTTTGCTGATGAGTTTCTACCCAATCTGGGTCACGATGCACGTGGCATCTTGTCAATGGCAAATTCGGGGCCTAATACTAATCAATCACAATTGTACGTTTTCTCTTGTTTCTTATCTGATATACTTTACAGCTTCATCACCTTTAGGAAATGCAAACATCTGGATAAAAAGCACACGGTTTTTGGAAAGTAAGCTTTATTTCGCGTAACTGAGCTTTCAATCGACAGAGTTGTCGGTGGCATGGAGACTCTTAACAAAGTCGAAATGTTAGAAACAGACAAAGATGATCGGCCTTTGGTGAGTTGTCACCTTGGACGTAATTTTCTTGCGGGAAAATAACTCAGTTCGCTTCTAACATTCCACACATCCAGAATGTGTTTTCCTTCAGCTCGCTTTTTGCCCATGTGATTTGATATATAAACAAGCTGTTGATCCCGGCTGGTTACCCAGAATTCTTGTCTACGGCCGCATGGCCACTTGAAGTCATTAACCAAGGTTTTAGTGACTGATCCCCTACACATAATAGGCTCTAGCGACGACGGAGAATTTCGTTTAGCGACGCTTTTCGACTGACAGAATGGTTGGGAATATCCCTCCGCGAGGTGGCTGTTTGACGTCTCGTCACTTTCTGGGTATTCCAAAAGAGGATGAATATCAAAGTGCTTCGCGGATAGTTTAAACGCACACAAGAAAACCAAAAATATGATTAATTCTAATATTTCTGTGGAAACATCTCAACCAACTACTAGGTATCGACAAATACGTTCATTTGTAAAACAATTTGGTTTTCACGGGAGGCTCAACTGAATCTCTTGTTTATGATATTCTTCAGCTGAATGTGCTGCACAAAGGCCACCTCATTTTCCAGTTGGTACGCCATTCGAGAAATCGTAGTATGTTTTCATGAAGGGAACTACTCACGAGGTTGCTGAAAACTCTTCGACAGCCCATGACCGGTTTCACCCTTCTTGGAGCTCGTCAGGTAGGCGCAGTCTCCGAGCTTCCGTCAACCTTTTGTTCTACCTGAACCCGAATTGGACTGATTTCGACAAGTGAACTGATTTGGTTTTGACGGGAGGCGCAACTTAATCTCTCGTTTATGGTATTCTTCGAATGAATGTGCTACCCAAAGGCCGCCTTATGTTCCAGTTGTTACTCCACTGAACTGGGTCGCTCTTTATTACGGCGATCAAACCACTCAAAGTTAGCTATCAAAATTCGAAGCGTTGCGTCAGGAACCGAATCATTTGCGACTGCGGTTGTTCGAATTGCACTTGTGGTTGTTACTGGCCTGCTTTCAAATCATCTACTGGATTTGTCACTTCAAGTTCGAAATGTAATTTCACTCCAATGGTTAGTTGTGCCGCCGTTTATTTCATCCTTAGTCCTCTTTCTGTCCACCAGATGGCAAGCAGTACAAAGGACTAACAGCTTTCGTGAAATGCATATTGAAAATGAATTGGGAAGTTGGTGATGGAAATGCAGATAAGGTCAACAAATAGCCCCTTAGTCCAAGTGCGAGGACGCGGCCGAATCATTTTTATCAAAACTACTCAAAATAAAAATATTGATTTGTTATACAGCTTCCCCAACAATATCTACTATAAGAGGTGCTATGGACTGACTCGTTGCGGTGAATCGAATGTTCTTCTTTGTGGTTTCTGATGACGGAGTTCGCTTTGTTATCTTGGTGATTATTTTCCCGTCACTGTCCAGAAAAATCCCATGGGAGAGCCGATAACCCCTAACTTGAGGCTTCACACCAACGGTTTGCGAAGCGTATGTTGATGTCTTTCTGACTGGTTCCCTCTTAGTAACTCATGGATTTACACAAACTCATTCAGGAAGGCCATCGCACACTAGAACATTTTGTTCTGATGCTTCTCAATGAATTAAGCTCCGCGTCCCCATTTGATAGACAAAAAGGTTTGGATTAGTTCAACCTAGATAGATAAATGCTATGAATTCGTGGTAGAGCATGTGTTATCTGCACTGAATCTTCACTTCATACACTTTTACTTTTTAGGAAGAAATTCAAATTTTGAACTGCGAAGTTTTCGTGGACCCTTTCAAGGATGTCGAAGAAATGCTGGCCAAAGAGAGGGCTCGAGGGATCGAATCGGAAAAACAGGAACCCAGCCCATCTGAAAAGTTGTCCCGACCCAAACCAGGAAACCGACGAGAGGAAGAAGCTCTCGAAGCAGAGGATCGTGCTCGTCGGCACAACCTACCTGGTTCGTTCCCGTTTCCCGTGTTATCCTAACTATATAGTGTTCGAAGCATTCTTTTTGTAATTCCGTACTGGTGCGTTATTTACCCATGTCGTTCTGATTTATTTCTATCCCCATGTGGGACTTCCTACGATGTTTAGATGTAGAACTTCTCAGAAGTTAATGCAAGGTACCGTCACTCCTCAATGACGTTTCCTTGTCCTCCGTATTTGGCTAATCCCAAAAGGCAAATTGCCTGCTACTATTGATTACTGTTTGGTTATCTTTGACGGAGCAGAATGAGAGCACTGGAGATCCTCTTTGTTCGAGAGATCGTAGACACGTGTTCTGATGATAAACCCGGTCTGTATCCTTCCGCACTGACGAGTACTAGGTCATGTTACAAGTTTATCACTGCCCTTTTATTAGAGACACTACTCGGGATGTTGCTTACTTGGAGGTTTGGCCGAAAACTGAGTCAGAAGTCAACAAGAATATGTGAGCTTAATTTTCCGACCACCTTGAGGCTATAAAGAAAAACATTATCGGTGAACAAATGCAGTGTTCCATGAAGAATGCTGTGTCACATATATTGATTGCTTTTCCCTCCAAGTTACTGCCGCCACTTTCTCGGCTAGACCTGAATTTGTATCCTATTCTGTGTCTAAACCTCCTTGACTTCCTTCAACACAGGACAGCCAACACTTGACTGCGCGAGACTTCACTTTGGTGATAAATGCATAATCGGTGCAGCATTCTGTGGGCTGAAAATATCTTCCGTTCAGTATTCTAAGTAAGATAAAGATAACCAGTCAGCTGTAACACCCTTTTGGTGCCTAGCTGCCATGGCACGCGAAGGAAGCACGAGGGCTGGGATACTGCCAGGTTGCCTAAGCCTATACAGGGGGAGTCGAGAGGCAGAGGTCGGGCTCGAACCACAGACCTTCCGGTCAGTAAATTCGCGCTCTAACCACTTGAGCCATCTCGCCCCCTCTAAGTAAACATATAGCTGCGTCTGTGCCACTTGATTACGACCAGTCTGACATCTGAATTGCTCCTCTTTGCCGGAACTTTTCCTACTAATGGCTTCAAGTTTCGGGCAACATAACCCTTTGGCCGTCCATCTTTCTCTGGGCCTTTTAATCCATCGTCTGACTGTTCTGAACCATGCGCCATGCTTTGCTTCGATTTCCGTATCCTGCTTTACTAAGGTGCACAACCATGATCTTTTAAGTGAGGAAATTCTAATGTCGTAGCATAGTCTAAGTAAAGTATTTAAGGTTTGTTCAACCACTAAACGATGATTATTTGTCCATTTTTCTACGTCAAGCGAGCGCAATGGAGAAAAGATCACAAACGAAATTATCAGTCGCTCACTCGTTAATCGTCTTGTTTTCACCTTAGCATCACTTTGTGGAGTTTAAATGTTTTCTTCTACATTCCTTGAGGTTTTTTCATCTCAGAACGGAACGCAAAATTGTCCCCTCTGGTATCTCTCCCAGGTGGTGGCTTCACAATGTACTTTGGTGGATCATCTTCTGAACGAATTCGAAGAAGTTGAAAGAGTCTAGGCGCTGTGCGTTGTTGGTTCAGAGTGAAAATGCTAGCGACCACACAATGGATCTTTTAAATGAATCTATCTCACTTTTCGACCACTAAGGTGGCCCTTGCTTAAGGAACAATAGATGGGCTTCAGAACAGATGGCTAACCGCCGGCTGGTCGACATACTGTCATGTTCACTGTGATTGGTGTGAAGACTACGTTTGTCCTATCGCTTGTTTGTGTGCATATTTCACACTTGATCTGATGATTGAATTGTCACGTACGGCCTGTTGTGCTTTTGACTCTGTGACGATGTAGTTATTGGACGGAGGTTTGTTTTGAAGGGGAACTACTGTCCCACGGAGAATCTCACAAGGTAGCGATTTGCCAGAGGCTAAACTTACTCGTTTTGGATAACAGACAACTGATCCTTTTTAATCATCTCTCAAATAGCTTTAACACGTACAGTTCTCTATGTAGCCAGCTTCTCTGAAACTACTCACCACCAAATTCAGCTTTGTGGTTCGGCCTGAGACTCATTGGAGCAATGCTCTTCCGTGGTATGTAATTCACTCAGCACGTCGCATGAACAGCTCAAAACGAGGCAAGCGGTTTGCATTCTGTCATTCACTGACCCCGCTGTTTCATACTGTTCACAGGTGGCATTCTTCTCTTCATGCGTCAAGCTAAGCTTGCGACAAAAGAGATACTTCGGGCGAAAGCTGTGTGGAATCGAGCATCAGATCTCCATCTATTACTTGGATCCGTCACGCGAACTCAGTTCAACTGTCAGGTCAGGCTGGCCCTGACATGATTGTTGCCGTGTAGACACCCTGAATGAATCATAGTAACTGTAACCAACCTTGTACTCTATGGGTACGCTAGAGACCATGTACATGGTGAACTTAGGTGGTCGCATTTGCCGAATCTTCTAGGGATTCAGAAGTTGCCGCAGTAATTAAAATTCAAAAATAGTCAGCGGTTGTGTGAAAAGAATGCTCAGAAGATTGAGCTGCCGGCGCCTTTTGAGTTCCACTGCCTTTTCTGATTCAGGGGTTTCCATCAAAGTGCATCTAAAAGAACGTTTATGTATGGTTTTATATGACTGTTGGTTTGAACTGATTACGTGGTACTTCGTACTACTAAACTATGAATTCCATCCTCTTGAATCATTCTTATGATGTACCGTTTGGTTAATAGTGACAAGCGATTCTGTACTGATCGAATAATGAGTGTTTACGTAACATGTTCGGGCTTATATAGAATGCCTTACATTGGCTGTTTTTCTTTGTTTCCTAAATATCAGCAGGTTTCTCGATCTCTCACGTCTAACTTTTGTCCCTGTGGAATACACCTAGCCCGTTGTCATATTCATTTTGGTCACTCCTTCGTGGTAATCTACTTTCAACTTTTCAGATACGTCCAAAGTTTTTCACGAAGGTATCGGAAAATTTATCAATATATCCGCTCTCGAGGAGGAGACGAAGCAGTCGCTCAAAAGAGAGTCTTCAGTGAACTCGCCCGCCCCAGTAAACGGAGTCTTCTTCAGTGAACTCGCCCGCCCCAGTAAACAATGAGGTCTTGCATAAGAAACAGAAGACCGTTCTCCGCTCAACTCTCTCTGATTTCAGTGCTTGGTAACATTGTGTGACTACTCCCTGTAAATACACCCACTTATTTTCTCTGTGGCATTTATTCACTCATTGTGGTGTTACTAAAGTAAGGGTTTTTTTAGTAGGGTCTAGTCGTGGAATGGAAAAAAACTGATAGCCATTTGGATTTCTAACTCCTGGGGTTTTTCAGTAGGGTCTAGTGGTGGAATGGAAGAACTGATAGCCATTTGGATTTCTAACTCCTGGGTGAAGGACCGAAGTTGCTTATATCGCGGGTGTGCCGATAACTCAAAGCTTTCAGTTAGGTTGATTTTTAGATGAAGTTACTGTTTAATTTTCCAGGAGTATATATACTGTATCATGTTTGGTAGTATCATAATATTGGTGACGAAATATAATTAATCACTTTTCATCGGTCGTTGGCTCTGGATCTATGTCCGGATGCCGGCCGTCTTTAATAACTGAACATCACATCATTTGGACGGATTTCACGTGCAGGACACGGACCAGACGAGGGCACGGCCTGATTGGTCAGAACACCAGCCAATCCGAGTCGAGCATCTCTGACACGACATCTCGTCCCCTCACGGACATTCTGACACGACCTTGTGGAACAACCAGTGATTATCCTATAAATACAGTTGTAATAATTTTTCCTTTGTCTCCATAAACGGCTGTGTAGAGCTACCGTGCCTTTTGATATACCGTAGTGGGCGGACCAGAAAGCCAAGGGACCGTATCAGGAAGGTCAGATTCCTGAAATCAACTTCTGAACGCCCGGAACCTACTGCTCCACCAAAAGCTCAACTGGAAAGCCGGCAAGCATCCAGGCCAGTCAATCATTCGATCAATTCAGTAAAACCTGATGAGTGTTCTCTGCGCCACAGAAGCACGACCGAATGTGATCAGCGTTCAGGCTTTTCACAGAGGCACGATCGATGTTGATGGGTGATCACTAACGCCTATCAGACAGCCTGGATCAATGTCAGAAAGTCCCCTTTAAATAGCGTGGGGCCGTTGTAACTTTTGCACTCGCACTCGCTCTCGCTCTCGCACTCACTCACTCGCTTGTTCGGAATATAGCTGTTGTGTTCCCTTCTGTGAGTCTTTTCTCTCCGACACTAGGCACTGGAGCGGGTCAGCAGCAGATACCACAGATTGACGAATCAGCAGATATAACAGACCGATACAGAGTTGCACTACCGTTCAGCAAGACAACAACCTATGGTGTCTGTTTCGGTTTTTCTCGTTGCCTCAGGTGGCGCAGTCTTCCGAAATTAACTACAGGGATCTCCACAGCCGAAGAATCACCGTCTAATTCACAATATACTCGCTTCCTCCCATATGTTGCTGAAACCCACTGTTGGTTCATTGGTTTCAGCAGTAGTAATCCGTTTGATTGATTCCATAGGTACTTTCTCCCTATTCAGATTATACAGACTCCTCAACCTTAGGGATGCATCCAAAGATGACTCAGGGGGTACTCGGTCATTTCAGTCAGATTTACTCCAAAATGTTTATGTAGACTACCCTGGGTTAGTGATCAGTAGCATGAATTTACAGGGTTATTAGCGGAATGCACTCTAGCCACGTGGAGATCGCAGCAATCGGAGGTAGATTTGGTCGAGGTCAGACAGTGCCCCCGGAAGATATAGCGTGAGGCCGTCGTACATTCACTCGCTTGTTGCACTAAAGTTGTTGTGATCCTTGTTGGCGATTTCCGGCACTAGGCACTGGAGCGGAAGTAGCCGTCTCAGATGTAACAGCGCCATACCATGCCAACACAAGATATCGATACCATTCTGGCTAGGAAGGGTTGTTCATCCCTAATCTTCAAATTTTGGAAGACATTATGTTCATATATGCAGAAGTTACCCTCTGGAAGTATGCTTGATTGAAAATGGACCTCGACCTATCGGGGTTAATTGCGTGGTAGGTGCCCGGCGCATTGCCTCAGACTAAATGAGGGTGGCTGGAGACAGCAAAACGACATATAGTTATGAATGTTTAAAAGGGTAATCTGGGTTCCAATACGACCTCGGCGTTCTGCTCAACGGTCTGAAGTGTGCGCTTGTATTATCTGTGACTACTGGTGACCTGAAAGTAGTTTGGAATTGCGAAGCCATATTGTTCGACTCAAGTCAAAGTACTCGGTGTACATTCGAAACTAGGGGCTCCGATAACTACGGTGTATGCCGCACCCAGATACCATTTGCGACGTGGTCCCCATTCTAATGGTGGTACGTCAGTTCACCGTTCCAGCTGCCTTAGAGCCATTGACGTTCCGTTTATATCAGGAGTTATTATGCTGTTCCGGCTACATCGTTTTGGAATAGTGTAGCATCACCCTTTTACATTTCTTTGACGGCCTGTTTGTTGTATCAAATGAAAAAGGTCTCAATGGCCACTGACAGTGTACGTCAAAGCATCATCGTGTGCGGTGACCGGAGTGAATGGCTCGAAGGCGTTCTTGCTGTACATATTACTCTGCTAGTATTACTACTGTTTTCGTTGATTTTTGAAGAGTATGATTACAAACAAAAATACACGCAACAGACATTGGGGAAATGTGCAGGAGAACGCCACGAAAATAGGGAGACGTATCACCACTTGTTTTGTCAGTGGGGCGACATGGTCTCCATGGTATGTGAGAAAGCCTGACATGGAAGCACTCAAGCAAAGACCAGCAATCGAAGAAAAACAATGCTGAATACTCTTCAAGGCGCAGTAAACGCTAAAGTAGTCAATACCAGAAACTCAGGCTCAAGATGTTCGGATCAGACTAAATAGTCATAGGCAGGGGATAACACCGAATGCCATGTAGAACGCATGAAAGCGCCGTGCGCACGTAGAGAGCCCAAGCTTGTGAACAAGCACCGGTCAGTGACGGTACCTCCCTAGTCCAACAGCAACCTTACCGGATTCCACACGATTTCACGTGAATCGTCAACGTTGGCACAAGGGCCAACACACAAGCTGAATCTACATGAAAATGCATTGCCAGAATTACATTTACAGGTTTGCTATTTGGTGCATGCTAGATCGGAGCTTCATGTTGCAGCATCCAGGCAGTGTAGCACAGAAATAATCAAACTTATCTTTATGTTCTTGATCTGACACCGTACGTACGTTTCCATTACGTGTGCATAGAGCTTATAAAAACTGCGGTTTTCTAGCGCATTCTTCGGCTGAACCTTATAAAAAGTGGTGATTCACAATTTCACTTCCACACTTTGTCAATCGTGACCTCAAAGTCAATTTGTTCTCGGTCGGTTGTGTTAGCTACCTAATCCAGTCACCCTCAGTGTAAGAGAAAGATTCCATAAAAATTAAAGTTCGAAATTTCACCCTTGCTCATGTCGAACGTTTCCGCAGCTTTGATATCTTTATTTCAAGACTTCAAAGCGAGATAACCAGAGACCATCACCGGGGATATGAGTTAAAATCAAGTCACCTGATCTGAATGTGTGATTGAGATGTGGGCAGCGTTTTATTCCCCGTGCAGATCAAACGATCTGTTGATCGGTGTTCCATAGCTTGGAGGTGTTTTCTGAGCCCCAGTTTTTAGGGTTTGTGGGCTAGGCTTTGTTAATGTTTCCCAAGCAGAATGCGGGGCTATATACTAATCTTAGATCTTCGTCAGAGGCGAACTTTACTGGAAGGATGATGTCTCTATTTTTTGCAAAACGTACTCTCACAAATGTTGTGGAACTAAATTTGTTCAAATGAACAGTCATCTGACTAATTTAGATACTCTTCGGAGCATTTCGCACTGTTACAGAGACATTCAAGACTCTATGGTCATGGTGGGAATATCAGAAATCCCTGGAGTGCATCATTTGTAGATCACTCTCCATTGACTCATAATTCGACGGGATACTCATATTCGCGTTGGGCCCTAACTAATGCGCTTTCAATGCGTTTCTGAATCGATTTATGCAACCTAATAAGCTGCCACTTTTTCAGGTACCAAACAGGACAGCACCAACTTGGATCTTACACGTAAATTTGTAGCTTTCGTGAGACGGACCTTTGTTCGATTTGTAGGTGCACAATTTTTTAGACCATAGACATGCGAACGAAATGAACTGAACCAATCAAAGTCCTTTTCGTTTCGGCTGACCAGTGGTTTGAAGAATCATACGGCTGGTTTCAAACTAAACACTAACTCTTCAAATCCTCGAACAGCTCGGTGAACTAAGTTTGCTACGCATTAGTTTGAATTAGGCCACCACTGTGGATGTTTGAGACCACGAGGTGTGAACTAAATGCTTCCGATCTCTACAAATGTGGCCAGATCACTTTCATCAAGCCAGTGAAAGCAAATGTTGGAGTAAATAACGCCAATCTACCCGATGCGTTCTTCATTGAGCTTGACTGCTATTCAACTATCCAGGCAGAAAAGTCTGTGTTGGAGCGTCTAATCAACTATCGCTATCCACAGGCTCGGTTAGTTTCTAACTGTTCTCTTTATAATTCATATAAACAGAATAAAACGAACATTCACCAAGTCATTCCTGTTTAGCCATTCGTACTTCGGCGAAGTTTTATTCAGTGACAGTCGTGAATTTCTGTGTTCTATCGCTCAAAAAGATGCCCATCTTACCCCACTGACTATCTTACAGTTATGTATGGATTTATCAGAATGGGAAGTGGTAAATTCGCTAGTGGATAAATGTGAGTTCATGCTTCACAAGAGCACTGATCGATTCATAGTTCCCACAGTTCTCTTGGACTTCCACACTTATCCCCTAACTTACGAGAATGGGCTTGGACTGACGTGCAAATTTCAGTGTGTTGTGCTGGGGAAACCGAAGCCTTTGTTCTACTGGTGTTTTCATAGCCGTCGGAAGGCTAATAAACATGTACATATTGAGTCAAGAGGAATACTGCACCATGCTTGGTTACATCTGACCGCATGCAAGTAAGACAGTATGGATTAATCCCATATTTTGGCCCGTACGCGAACAGTGATGAAGATGATGGGGAATATTACTGCTGCGTCCTCAATAGTCAGGCTCTGGGAACCTACTACCGGACAACATCAAGCTATTTGAAAGTAGAGGACCCAGTGAGTGTTTTGATACTCATATGTCTATTGGATATGTACATATATATGATTACTATATAGTCAGCAACAAATATTAATCATGTCACTATGGAGAGTGGTATTGAAACCCACAAATCTTTACAAAAAATATCGTCCTTAGTCCCGAGTAACACAAGCGTAGGATATAATGGACAATTGAATTCCATCATCCAGATTCTCCGAGACCTGTGAATTTCGCTATATCCACTATGACTTACCTCCAGACTGTTAGTTCAAAACAGAAACATTCACATTACTCTGTATAACAGCCAGTCACTGCATGAGTCGTTGTGTAGAAGAAGTACTGTTTTTTTAAAAAAAGCCTTTTTGCGACATGCAACAGAAGAAGTTCAACAGCATGGACTGCGGTCGCTCGATCATGTGCTACGCATGCCGCAACACGGTCTACGGAGACAAGTGGTAATCTCCGTTCATCCTTCATAAAAGTGTAAAGTGCAAGTGAACGTGTGACCTAACAGAAGGGTGTGTGGCAGATTTTCGAAGAATTTGTGTGATATTGGTGCTTTTCGATTTCCAAGAATGGATCCCGGTGACCATCCCCTACGCCTGGCTGTAGACACCACAAGAGTGCAGGCGTTCGTGCTGCCAATTTCTATCCAGATTGTGATTAAGCACAACTCAGAATGCTTGCAGTAGGGTAGCAACAGGTCGATTCCTCATCCACTCCTTTTTTTCTTTAGGGCCCTAATAATTAGACAAAATTTGTGGTCGTAGGGCAGTGAAACATCAGCGCCAACACCGATGTTGCGGCCTCAGATGGTGACGATGACACATAGGAAGCGAAGAGTGATTAATTAAACACTACTTGTTCAACCAACCTTATTTTTTCTGTATGGTCGTTTCCAGTTCCATTTACCAGTTTAAATGGCGGCTGTCCGGTGATTGCAGCTATACGCCTAGGATATCGTAGGATAAAATCAAGGCAGGAAGTCGATTCAGTGCCATTTAGCGAGGAAACAGCATGTTGCCTCTTGATTCGGGCCTTTTTTGTGCCATTGGCAAAAAGTAGCAGACTAGCGCCTATCCACCAAAGCCTGGGAACACGGGTCCTTATATATATATATATATATACCATTATAGAAGGGCGACAATCTTGAAAATGGGGGCTGAGCCTGAATCATTTGAAATAAAGGG